TGCAGACATGGTAGGAATCCTTGTTTGTAGCTTCAGAAATAGAAGAGACCAAAAAGGTTGGTCTGGACCAGGAGAAGTAAGTGAACATGACACAGCCCAGTGAAAAGTGCACGAGGGCTGGTTCTCGAACCTCTGTGTTTCTGGGTGTGCATTTGAGTTAGGTATATTCAGCATATGCCATGACCTGCAAATGTTAAAGACAAAATCCACATACAGAACTGACCAAGGGAGTGAAACAGAATTATGAGTCAACCTAATAATGAGTCTACCTAATAATACATTTCAAAAATTGTTTGATACACACAGAAGTAGAAAGTACTCAGCTTTCCTAAGAGGTATTTCAGAAGCCCTTTGAAAAGATACCACTTTCTTACTTGCTTGCTAATGAGTCTCATGATCTACCCTGGCCTTCTCTGAGCTGCTCTCGTATGGCATCACTGGCTGGTCTCCATCACCACTGTAAAGTAAGGCCAAGCTCCTGAGAATCAATCAGGAGTTGTCTCTGGATTTGAACTCTGCCTACTTCTCCAGGCCCTCTCCCTTCGGCCCCAGCCACCACTCCAATGGACTCCGGCTCAACACACCAGCAAGGCAAGCTGTTTCACACTTCCGAACCCCGGAATCAGTGGATGATTACTGTTGTATTATAGCACTGAGGACAGAGAAAAAACAAGGCAGACAGGTTCCTTGTTCTAGTGGACTTTATATTCGAGTGGAGGAAGACAACCAATCAAGAAAACAATCATATGGTGAGGAGCAGTCTGTGAAAAAATAGAATAGGATGATGTGGTAAGGGGTGACGAGGAGGCAATTTCAGGTTGGGTGTTCAGAGAGGCCTCTCTGAGAAGATGCACTGAAGCTGATATCTGAATGACAAGGAACCAGCCGCCAGAAGCCCAAAGAACCTTAGGGGGAATACCTAGGGCAATAATCCTAAGGCAATAATAAGCTTGGTTTATTCAAAGAACAAAGACCACTGTAAATAAAATGAGGTTAACAAGAGGGAACACGGCATGAGATAAATTCATAGAGATAGCTTGTCCCTTAGCTTACAAAACCTAAAGTAGGAATCTGGATTTTCTAAGCGCCGAGGCAGGAAGTGATCCATTTGCTGGGTGAAGAGTGAACTAGAGGGAAAGGGTGAGAGGCAAGAGTGGAAAGCACCTGGTTAGCATGTTACTGCAGTAATCTCGAGGAAAGATTGTGAGGTCTGGGAAGACAAAAGGAAAGAGGAGCTAGGTAGTAGTGGGGAGGAAGGAAAGCGAACTGATTTGGAATGTACACAGAATCTACAGGAATTACTAATGCACTGAATGTGGAAAATGACGGGAAGAGGATGCAAGAATGTCTTCTAGGTTTTGGCTTGTCCAAGTGGGTGGACAGCGATGCCATTTACTGAGATGGGACCACTAAATGAGAGGCATACTTTAGGGAGAAAATTGAGTTGTTTCAGGCATGTTAAATTTGAAATGCCTATTTGACATCCAAGTGGAAAAATCATAGGCAGATATGAAAAGAGATGTAAGCAGATATTTATATCCATGGAAAAGTCAGAGGTAGAAATAGAAATCACAAATTAGCATCATATAGACAGTTTTTAGGCCATGAAGCATACATCTCTATCTTGTCCAACTGGTGAATTCCTAATCATCCTTCAAAACCTAGTATAGACATCACCCCCAAAGAGGCTTTCTCTCATCACCCTTAGTCAATCTCTTTCTCCTTTCTACTACTTAGGTACCTTGTATGTGCTTCTATTTTTCCATCTAACACTGTACAGTAACTACCTGTTGACACAGAAGGGCAGAGACCTCATTCCATTCACACCTGTCTCCTTTAACATTAACACTAGAACTTCAGTGCCCGATACATACAGTAGGCTCTCAGTAAATGTCACCCAAATTGAACTGAACTCATCAAATCCACAAAGTCAGTCAGAAGCACACCATAGGCTTATGATCAAAGATAAAAAGCTAATAAACATTTCCAAGGAGGCTGACTGGTTCAGTCTGTAGAGCATGCAGTTTTGTTTGTTTTTTTTCTTAGATTTTACTTATTTGAGAGAGAGAGAGAGCGCGCGCAAGAGCGGGGGGTTGGGGGTGGAGACGGAAAAGCAGGCTCCCCACCAAGCAGGGAGCCCAACTCGGGGCTCGATCCCAGGACCCTAGGATCATGACCTGAGCCAAAGGCAGACGCTTAACCGACTGAGCCACCCAGGCATCCCAGAGCATGTGGTTCTTGATCCGTGGTTGTGAGTTCGAGCCCCATGCTGGGTGTACAGATTACTTAAATAAATACTTAAAAAAAAAGGGGGGGGCAGCTAATAAACATTTCCAAAATCATGACACTGCTAGATGAGAAATAAGACCTCCAATTTTGTCGGGGGGGAGGCAGGAGAGAACCCATAAAAACAATCAAACCTTTTTTCTCCCAACCTCTAAACTAACAAGTAGTCCACAGAGGCAGAAAAGAAAAAAGGAAGTTCTTATGCTCATAGTGAGAAAAATAAAGTGCCTACATTATTTGTTTTCCCAACAGCCAACACTGTGACTATCCATAAAAAAAAAATCTGCATTAAAAATGCTGTAGTGTTCCTATCACTAATGTGTCATTTATACTGGAAAAGTTCTGGAAGGACGGTAGGCAGAATATACTTACCAGCAAACAGTGGGCAAAGTCAGGACCTCCCACCAGGCCAGTGAAATTTCCCAGTTGCTCAGCAAGAGCTAACAGTACCTCATCTTCATCGTAAATTGTATCTGGAAATGACAATAACCCAGTACTCATCAACAAGGATAGCTGGCCCACAGCGGGATACTCACATAAAACTAGGAACGGACTCCATATTTAACTAGATAGTCCTGTCACAATCTTAACAGCATTCTGGATCTGTCTTACGTGAATTAGAAATCGACAATCCTGTATCAATTATTTTCCCATCAGCTAAATAGTTAATGTTTTAATAAAAGTCTGGCCACAACATTACACTATGCCTGGTCTTGTTTCTTTTGCACAGAAAGCATCAGGCTCAGTTTAGTACTTAATAGCATGAGTAACAAATATCTAAAAAAGAGTCCAAGTTTTGAAAGCCACTGGAAAACAGCAATGGCCATGCTTTTCTTCAAACAAAAAATTCCACATACCTGTAAGGAATGGCAGCAGTTCTGTTCGCGTCCTTTCTACTCCAAGTGCTAGAGCAATTGTTGATAACTTCTTAATACTGTTGAGGCGGAGCTTTAAAAAAAAGAAGGAAAGAAAGAAAGAAAGTGGACAGAATGAAGTAAACAACTGTGATTTAGACCAAAAGACAAAAGTTGCGAACAGGTGAGATAATGACATTGAGTGACAAGGAGGAAAACCTTCAATTTAGATTTTATTCTAGGAGGAACCTCGGGAGTAGTGGGAACACAGCTTCATTTCAGCCAAAGGAAGGTTTCTTAAGAGCAACACTCAAAGGGCCCATTAGAAAAAGGAAAAAGAGGGCGCCTGGGTGGCTCAGTCGGTTAAGCGACTGCCTTCGGCTCAGGTCATGGTCCTGGGGTCCCGGGATCGAGTCCCGCATCGGGCTCCCGGCTCGGCAGGGACCCTCCGCTTCTCCCTCTGACCCTCCCCCCTCTCATGTGCTCTCTGTCTCTCTCATTCTGTCTCAAATAAATAAATAAAATCTTTAAAAAAAAAAAAGGGGCGCCTGGGTGGCTCAGTCGGTTAAGCGACTGCCTTCGGCTCAGGTCATGGTCCTGGGGTCCCGGGATCGAGTCCCGCATCGGGCTCCCGGCTCGGCAGGGACCCTCCGCTTCTCCCTCTGACCCTCCCCCCTCTCATGTGCTCTCTGTCTCTCTCATTCTGTCTCAAATAAATAAATAAAATCTTTAAAAAAAAAAAAGGGGCGCCTGGGTGGCTCAGTCGGTTAAGCGACTGCCTTCGGCTCAGGTCATGATCCCAGGGTCCTGGGATCGAGCCCCGCATCGGGCTCCCTGCTCGGCGGGAAGCCTGCTTCTCCCTCTCCCGCTCCCCCTACCTGTGTTCCCTCTCTCACTGTGTCTTTCTCTGTCAAATAAATAAATAAAATCTTTAAAAAAAAAAAAAGGAAAAAGAATACCACATCCAGGAAGTGAGACAAGCTCAAAATGAGAACACTTTGGCAGCGGTGAAGCAGGTGAAACGGCTGAACACAACCCTTGGCTTTCCAAGGAAAAGTGACACCAGAGCTGAGGCACCGACCTCTCCAGCTTAATAAGCACCCCGCTCTGCACCCAACAAGCCAGGCGGGTTTCCAAGCCGGGAGGAAGGCGTCCATCCACCCGCAGCCCGCTCCCTCCAGCCGCCTCGGGCCCGCGCCGCCCTCCTCCCGGCCCAGGACTGGACGCACGTTCCCCCCCTTCCCAGCACCGCCCGGAAGGGGCGCCCCGGCGGGAAGCCGGTGCTCCACAACCGCCGGGACCGGGCGGACGCCTCAGGCGCTGGGAGGAGGAGTGCGGGAGGGGCCCTGGGGAAGGTCCGGTCGAGCCAGCGCCGGTCCCCCGGGTCTTCACCCTCCTCCCCATCAAATCTGTGCTCCAAGTCGCGCTCTTCCAGTCCCGCGGCCTCCCCCACCCGGAGCCGGCCTTCCTCCTTCCCCACCTCACGCCCGGCCAAACCCGCCCCCACTCCCCGGCCCGATTCTAGTACCTGCACGTCCTCGTTGCGGAGCTCGTCAATTAAGACCGCAATCGGGTACAGCGAATCGTCTCCATCTCCTCCCGCTGCCCCCGGGCCGGTCCCGGGCCCCGCTGCGCCCGCCATGTTCTTTCTCCTCCGGCTGGTCGCCGCCTCCCGCCCCGCGCCCCGGCCCCGCCCCGCGCCCCGGCCCCGCCCCGCGCCCCGGCCCCGCCCCGCGCCCCGGCCCCGCCCCGCGCCCCGGCCCCGCCCCGCGCCCCGGCCCCGCCCCGCGCCCCGGCCCCGCCCCGCGCCCCGGCCCCGCCCCGCGCCCCGGCCCCGCCCCGCGCCCCGGCCCCGCCCCGCGCCCCGGCCCCGCCCCGCGCCCCGGCCGGCGGAACTAAGGCCCGCACTCCCACTGCGCGGAGGCGGGGGAGCGGAGTCCCTGCCGGGGTGGTGGAGGTCCCCGCGTGGACTCCGTTGCGGAAGCTGTACGTTTAAACTCCAGAAGAAGGGTGGGCTGAGAAAGCGAACGGAGCCCCCGCATCCTTTACACAGCCGAAAGCAACGGGGGCAGGAATTCATTCTGCTTATGGTGGGCTGAAGGGGTCAGGGACCTACCTGAGTGATGCGAGCTGTGCTCCTAGGACTCAGGCACACCAGAGGAGGCCCCAGGCCAGGAGGAAAACAGACTTAGCGCCTCCCCCGACTTCATCCTGGCCCTAAGCCACCGGGTCTCCAGCCCTAATTTCCCCTGCTAGCCTCAAGCTTCCACAGAACCCCTCCACCTCTTCCTCTGGCCTGTGAGCCAGAATTGTATCTGGCCCCTGCTCCGTCAGACAAATACCGCGGGCGGTGAGAGGAAAGGAACACTGCTGTCCAAGCTCCCCAGTCAATATTTTTTCCGCTTTTTCCATGCAAGCTGTTAAAAACATGCTGCTCTCTTGTTTTTGTGTTTCTTTTCAGCTTGGTACTGGAATGGTGCCTTCTGTTGTTTTTTCTTCCTCCCTCTTTTAGGTCTTTAGCATGCTAGAAGTACAACAATCAAGCAAAACTAGGACAAGCTTTAATCCTTCCAAATTGGGTGGAGTGGCTACTTTGCTTGTACAAGAAAGGCTAAACTGGCCTCCCTAGAACTCCCAAGAGTCCTCAGAGGCACCAGTAGGAGGAGGTGAGGGTGCTGGAGTTTCTTACAAAACTTGATGGAAAGTTTTCCTTTACCCTTCTGCAGGCAGCACAGAACCACCAGAATGTCCCCTCTCTTTTGTTCGTTTTGGACTATAAGCAGCTTAGAGTGACAAACTACATATGGTGAATATGGTGATCATAAGCTCCGAAATGGTAACTGCAGGTCTGATTAATAAAAACATAAAATTATTAATGAACGTAATTTAGGAGACTTTAAAAAAAAAAAAACCCACATTCGTCAGAATAAACACAGTAGATAGAGCCTTTGATAGGAGTGAAAGTTTGGGGACCAATGGACTTGAACAGTAGCTCTCAAATTAGGTCTGTGGATGTATTCTGTAGGGCTTCGGTTTGGTTTTCATATTGGTAATAATTTTTAGATTTATATAAGCATATTCTGTACTATTTGGATGACCACTTTATAACCAGCATTGCTGCCCTATTTCAATACTTAGGTTTGCATGTGCGTTCCCATGCTGCTTTTACCCTTCTAAAATAAGAAAAGATCGGAGGTAGATTTAAAATGAAAATGGTGTTTTCATGCCCAAAATGAAAGCCAACTGACACCATGGAAATGCACTGTCACAGCATTTCCAGCAGACAAGTGAGAAAACAGGTATTACAGGTCACTTGGCAGCACAGGCACATTCACCTCAAAAGCAGCTGAGCCTTCCTCCCAGGCAACACCTGAGTCAATACAAGGGATAACTCAGGCTCCTGGGTACTTGATTTGTAGATCTCTTTTGGGTTGTTAGTGTGTAAGAACTATAAATAAAAGAACACTATATTCCTACTTTATATTTGCAAGTTTAAGTAACATTGTAATAAAAATAATTTAAGTTGGGGGCACCTGGGGCACCATTCCAGCATCTGCCTTCAGCTCAGGTCATGATCCCAGGGTCCTGGGATCAAGCCTTGTGCCTGGCTCCCTGCTCAGTGAGGAGCCTGCTTCTCCCTCTTCTCCCCCGCTCATTCTCCCTCTCTCTCTCAAATAAATAAAAAATCTTTAAAAAAATAAGTTGCCTGAGGATTTTCACAATTTTTTTTCCCTTTAGAAATGGATCCAAATACCACTCAAGGTTGAAAAACAGAGGGCTAAGAGGTTTTTGGATTTTGTACTTTACCAGTTAGAAGATCAGAGGGGGTTCCTATTGGCATGGAGAGGAGAAATCTGTTCCCTTATACTTGATGTAAAAAGCCTTCAGAAATGGTGGAGGAAGTAAGCAGGGAGAGAAGCACATTAAGTCAGTTCCAGGCATATCATCATCTACATGTTGCTCAAGCTTAGATGAGCCTCATTCTGAACAAAAATTAGCACACTGGTTAATGCTAAGCTATTTTGTTTAAAACTCAGATATGCTTTCCTTACCCAAGCACAATGAATTGGATACCTAAGGAATAACTATGATTAAATATGAAATCACAAGCTGAAAAAAATGGGTGCCAAAAAATTGCCTGGTTTGAGAGTCATCAATTCTAGACTTCAATTCCCACCTCTGTCTCTGACTATGACCTACCTACCTCTTCCTATGCCTCAATCCCACCTCCCACCCCCTCACCCCCAATAAAACAGAGTTAACCACCTCTGGGTCCCTCTCTAGTTACTGTGATGATGTGAGAACAGAACAGGTAGTAAACATGGAGATGCTAATAAATCCTTCAATAAAGAAACTAATTAAAACAGACTACAGCAGAAAGAGGCTATTTCAAAAACTGGGCCAAATGGAAACTGGAACAAAATCTAAGTCTTTGGAGGAGTGTGGTCCACAGACTATCTGAATCACCTAAGATGCATGTTAAAAAAAAAAGCATATTCCTGTCTTGCACCCCAGATCCACTGACTCAGAACCCCCGAGAGTAGGGCGGGGCATTTTACTGTGTACCCCTGGTGATTCTAATGTACACGGATATTTCAAAGTCACTGGTTTAAAAACATCTGTAAAAATCATTTCCAGGTCAACAAGCAGCTGCTCAGGAAGAGTCTGAAAAGAGTCTCTGGAGGCCGCTTCTTGTCCAGAAAAAGCAAATGACAGCAAAAACTGATTATTGATAAGCAGTTCCGTCCCTATTGGTTATGGGTTTTGCCAGATTAAACTGATCCCTCTTTTGCTGGCCTCCTGGAATGCAGCTAAGCAAGACAAATACAATACCCTGGCTCCAAGCTGCTGCCACATCCTTTCCTCTCTATTGCTCCTCTGGTCTCCTCCCCAAGACCCTCCCCCCCAACACACACACACACACACAAAACTAATGACCAGGGAGCGCCAGAAGCAGCAGCTGAGATTCGACTGGGGGTTTAAAGCAACACTCAGGGGGCGCCTGGGTGGCTCAGATGGTTGAGCGTCTGCCTTCGGCTCAGGTCATGATCCCAGGGTCCTGGGATCGAGTCCCGCATCGGGCTCCCTGCTCCTTGGGAGCCTGCTTCTCCCTCTGCCTCTCTCTCTCTGTCTCTGTCTCTCATGAATAAATAAATAAAATCTTTAAAAAAAAAAAAAAAAAAAGCAACACTCAGGAAACAGTGTGACATTCTCAGCACAAAAGCCCTGAGTTCTGACACCCACATGCAGTTCACGCATCCAGTGAATCAAGGGAAGACAGGCTCAGACTTGCCCCGTTCCTGTCACACAAAGCATGGAGAATATGGAGAAGCACAAGCAGATGGGATCAACAGACATCAATGCTTGTGCCTGTAACAGCTCCCAGCGTCCCAGCAGAAAAGGGTCCGTCCTGAGGAAGTCTGAAGGACATCACGGTCATGCTCTCTAACCTCCTGCCTCATTGATTCAGCTCGCCTTTTCCTCACCATCCACCGGGCTTTAAAAAATCAATGCTCGTTCAAGCTGATCTGCTTCAGAGCCACCCCCCTGGAAGAGAAGGCCAAGTGCAAGAGAGACACGTGTATGCAGGTGGTTCTCACAAGGCAGACCCCCAAGTGTCATCCCATTGAAAAGGCAGTCAAGAAATGGTAGATGGAAAAAAAAATTTTTTTTAATTAAAAAAAAAAATAACAAAGTGATAGATGGTCCAGTTCACGTACAGGAAACCTGAGGTACATGCAGGCATTTTCCAAGTATCTTCATTTAGCAAGATGACCCTGGCAAACTGATACTTAATTCATTACAAAGCAGTAATTATCACCATTGCATTAATGATATTTTGAATTTATATATATATATATTTTAAAGATTTTATTTATTTATTTGACAGAGACACAGCAAAGAGGGAATGCAAGTAGGGGGAGTGGGAGAGGGAGAAGCAGACTCCCCGCCGAGCAGGGAGCCCGACGTGGAGCTCGATCCCAGGACCCTGGGATCATGACCTCAGCCGAAGGCAGACGCCCAACCATCTGAGCCACCCAGGCGCCCCGAATTTATATTTATACAAAGACTGTCTTAATCCTGTGGAACTCAAATATTTTCACCTCAAAATTTTAATTGCATTTTTATGGCTGCGAATACTTGACAAAGAAGAGGCTTTGCCTGGAGTCACACAATGAATCACAATGAATGAAGAAGCTGTGAAACACATAATCTTGGATTATTACCTCTCCTGGCTTCATCCTCTACTTCCATGCCACAGTTTATCACTAGATTAAAAAAAAAAAAAAAAAGGTGTTGGATTTCCAGAGCAAAACTTCTCTTGAATTCTTGAGAAGAGCAAATCAAAGACATTGGACAGCCAGTTCTGATTCAGGACAGTATACAGAATGGCTAAAATGGGGGCATCTGCATGGCTCAATCAGCTAGGCATCTGACTCTTGACCTCAGCTCAGGTCTTGATCTCAGGGTCATGAGTTCGAGCCCTACACTGGAGTATACAGTGGAGTCAGGATGACCTAGATTGACATCCCAGCCCTGCCAATTATTAGTCTGTGTGACTGTGAACAAATAACTTACCCTCTCAGAATCCTGGTTTCTGCATCTATAGCGTAGAGCTGTAAAGCTTACCTCATGCGGTTGTTAAGATCAAATAATGCATACAGAGTGCTTCGATTAGTACCTGACAAGAGTAAACCATCAAATATTAGCCATTAATAGTTATCTACTGAGGAAGTAGAAGCAGGAAAGAAAACATTCCAATCAACTGAGCTTTGGCAACAGAGGACCAGTATGAAAAGATGAAAGGAGTACATGACTTAGAGAAGACCTAACTCAAGGTCTTCCAGAAGGTTTTCTCATTGGCAAAAAAATAGGGGCAAATCTTAGCTGAGGTCTCTCGGGGTTCTTGTGAGGAATAAGATCCATAACGGGAAGTACTTTGTAAAGGAAAAGCATTACGCAAATGCTAGAGTTTACTGAGCACCAAGTGCTCACTGAACTGTTGCCCACAGCAAACAAAAGAAGAGAGCATCTGGAGACCGACGCTCAAGGTGGGCAGGCCCCCAATTCCCTAAGAACAGCAGCCAGAATGAATACTTCCTCTAACCTCAAGGGCATATTTAAGCTACAACAGACCTGGAGATCAAACAGGCATGGCGACCTTTCTCAAAAGTCTTAGGCATTTGAGTTCTATTATGGGCTCCGACATTCTTAGGAGAGACCCCTGGTTATCTTGTCAGGTGCCGTACACAGCTCAACGAAAACCCTTTGTTACAAAGCAAACAAAAACAAACCCCCTTTGTTACAGTGTTAAATGCAAAAGCAAGGTACAATTAAAATTCTGAGGTGAAAAATAACAATAAAAATGTTATTGAAGTTGTGGGGGGTAACTTAAGCTGAAAATACTCGGAAATATTAGATTGCTCCTAAACAGGTAGTATTAAATTATTTTAAGATTAAAAAAGAGAAAGTGCCAGAACAGTATACATAGTATCTTACCACTTGTTAAAGAAGACACACGTGCTTATGTAAGCATTAAAAAAAAAAGGTTCTAGAACACACGTGAATTACATTGGTTGGTTATGGGAAGATAACAGGGTACCTGGGGAAACAGGATGGAAGGGAGAGTTTTCCATGTTCAATATCTCCATATGACCTTTGGTTTTTTACTACATGCTATATTGCAGATTTTACATGAATTTCACCCATTTTTCCGTCTTTTATCTGTTTCAGGCCCCAATCTGGGATACCAATATCCAGGATATTTACGCTTTTTGAATCCTGAGCCATGAAAATTCTTACATATCCAAACACACAGAGCTTTTGGCTCTTGGTTAGTTACCCCATTATAGACTGGACTCTGCCTCTCCCTGGCTGGTCTTCCTCATGGCATCCATAAATCTGGATAATAGCCCACTCCTGCCAGTTACTCCCTATCTAGCCCCGATAGGTCCAGAGTCCAGATTTCCTTCTTTCTTATTTTTATAAGCCTTTATCACCTGTCTTACACTAGACCCAGCCAACATAAGTAGTGGCTTTCAGTAGGCAGGCACACTGTCCCCAGGTTCCAACTAGACAGAGGTCTGATTTAGCAAAAACACAGATTACTTAAAATATTCCTTGTCCCCTGAAGAAAATCTATATTTTCCCCCACTGTTTTTCCTGATCTGCCCAGCAGAACTATTAGGAAAAAGATCAGAAGAGTAAGAAAGAACCAATACCAAAGCCCCCTGGACATGCTACTCACATCACAGCAGAAATTCAACTGGGACTGTAATCAGAAAACCGGAATTTCCACTGACTTCTAGGACTTCAGGAAATCAGCTCCCTTTCTGATCTAGCTGTGTGATTAAAATTAGCTGGGCCACACAGTGTTCTAAAAAAGCCCCTAGAGACTCTGTTATCTGTACACTCTTACTAAGACAACCTCCAGGCTGTGGTTCCTGGAGGCAGATTAAGAAGGTAGTAAAAAGACTGAAACAACTTTGACTAGGTCATGTTCTTATCTCTGCCTGTCTAATCATTCCAGATACCTCAACATAATATCCAAAAAAGGAGCTCAAGGACTGTGGACTCCAAAGAGGTCTTGAAATAGGGAGTATGAAGTCATAGTTAAGAGAGAGGATCTGGAGTCAGACTGCCTGCATTTGAATCCCAGGTCTGCAACTTCCTAGCTAGGTGATCTTGGGCAAGACATGTAATATCTTTTTTTTTTTTTTTAAGATTTTATTTATTTATTTGACAGAGACAGCGAGAGCAGGAACACAAGCAGGGGGAGTGGGAGAGGGAGAAGCAGGCTTCCCACTGAGCAGCGAGCCCGATGTGGGACCCGATCCCAGGACTCTGGGATCATGACCTGAGCCGAAGGCAGCCGCTTAACGACTGAGCCACCCAGGCGCCCCAAGACATGTAATATCTCTTGGCATTAGTTTATGAAGAGGATAATAAGTTATCAAACTCATAACGTTGTTGTAAGGATTATATGAGAGAAAAGGAACTTGAAACATTCCTGCAGGCTTAAATGCTTAATAGATGTTAGTGATTATTCATATTATTTCTCTGCAGAGCAAATCTGACAATCCAGAGGGTGTAAGAAAGGAAAAAGTAAAAAAACAAAAACAAAAAAAACCCAAACCCAAACCTCCATGCTTGCTTCGATACCACCTATACTAAAATTGGAATGAGGGCACCTGGGTGGCTCAGTTGGTTAAGCGACTGCCTTCGGCTCAGGTCATGATCCCAGGGTCCTGGGATCGAGTCCCACATCGGGCTCCCAGCTCAGCGGGGAGCCTGCTTCTCCCTCTGACCCTCTCCTCTCTCATGCTGTTTCTCTCTCGCTCGCTCTCTAATAAATAAATAAAATCTTTAAAAAAAATAAAATAAAATTGGAATGATACAGAGAAGATTACCATGGCCTCTCACAAGAATGACTCTCAAATTCATGAAGCATTCCATAACTTAAAAAATAAAAGGCAAAAAGAAACCAAGAATACATTCTCCGTATAGTTTTAAGATTGAGTTCAAAAGAGGGTATCTATCAGGTTTCACACAGATAAAGAAGAAAATCTATATCAAAGAGCTGAACTTGTCTGGTCCTCAAGGCCTGTCTGTGGGTACCCTACACTTTTAAATGTAAATGTTCAGCAAATGTTTGCTTTTCATCCCATGCCCTGTACAGGAGAAGCAATCACAGGGTTGTTGTTTTTTTATTTTGTTATGTTAATCACCACACATTACGTCATTAGTTTTTGATGTAGTGTTCCATGATTCATTGTTTGCGTATAACACTCAGTGCTCCATGCAGAACATGCCGTCTTTAATACCCATCACCAGGCTAACCCTAGGCTGCTACTTTACAGGGGCGCGAAGCACTGCTAAGTGCTAGTACTTTCCTTTGAGCTACTGTGCTGGAGGTAATGTGTTGGCATCTGATGGAGGGGAGCACCCTGCCCATTCACATATCCTTTGGGTTGCCTCTGACAAAATCAGTGAGCAGAGGTAAAAAGATGTGTGTGTAGGATGCGGTTTACTCATGTCTGAAACCCTGACGATGGGCAAACAGCGGATAATTACACCTGAAAGTAGCTCCCCCACCCCCACCAAATACATGCCTTTTATTACCTATGAATACCATCAACGCCATGTTAAAGAGAACTGAAATTAACTGAAAAGAACTGACCTGTGAATCATTTCCCAACCAGGGAATCACTGTTGTGATGGGTGATCCATCCCCCGTTAATCATGGGCATGGTTTTCTCCAGGAAATTTTTGCAATTACAGCAATGTAGGGATACAGATTCTAAAGAAATGTAGCTCTGATATTTCCATTTACACTGAATTTTATACACCCAAGAATACAGCAAATACTGAAACAGATTAGCTTCCTGGAAGAAAAGGAGCTGTGAAGTTTTCAGTGAGAATGGGCTGCCCTCTGCTGGGCACTTAGAGAAGTCTCCATGCGGGCACCGCAGGCAGGGCTGCCCCAACAAGTTTTCAGAAACAGTGATACTTGGAAGTAAAACAAAAACAAGACCAAAAAAAAAAAAAGCCCACAAAAAACTATGGCAACAAACTTAAACTTTGGTGTTATTTTTTAAAATATCTCCAGTAATCACAACAAACTTAAACTTTGGTGTCATTTTTTAAAATATCTCCAGTAATCACAGACTGTGAAAACACAATTATAGAAAAGGCCCAAGGGAAGGGGATACTTAAAAAAAAAAAAATGCCTAAGATTCTTTTATAAATGTGGCACCGTAAAACCAGCCTCTTTTGCTACAGAACTCCACAAATATTTCACTGGCAAGAAAAAAAAAATGAGAATATATTCTCGGAAATCCAGGGAGGCTGAGAGACGTTTTGTTAATAGAGGCAAGAAAGAAGCAAGGCCATCTGCTGAATGACCCACAGCGTTTTCTCGTTGGTTGAGTGGGCACATTTCAGGTCATTTCTCTCAAAATGAGATTAACCTTTGCTCTCAAGTCTGTGGGGGGGGGGGGGGGGGGCGGGGAAGGACAGCAGTAGCTCGAAAGAGGCTCTGGCCCAGGCCGGCGGCGCAGCCACGAAGAGGAGGTCTCCACTGCACATGTCCCAGAGTGAAGTATATGTAAGAGCTACGAAGTAGGCTCACCCAGCAAGTCCTGCACAGGGCTCACTACACACCTACACGTGTTTCATTCCGCTCAGGAAAGCCCCAGGCTCTTATCTGAGCAGGCCGAGCGGTGCTGATTGGTAAGGTTTGAACTTGAAGGCCAGGCAGCCTTCCTCAAACACTCTCCTCCCAATCAATCAATAAAATGGCACTTGAATGGCTCTGAAATCGCCAAAATGGGTCATTTCTCTTTTCCAGATGTGTTCCCATTCCAATGTGCTGAGAGGGTCAGTGGGAAGAGAGCTACAGTAAATTATTAACATCCATTAGTGTACATCAGTATCATATTAGTTGTTTCCCAGAAAGCAGGGCCCAAAGAGAATGGGTAATAAGGGCAGGTAAGGTTTGAGAGTCAGTAAAAAAAAAAAAAGAAAAAAATTGGGGGGTAGGGGGGAAATGGCAAGAGGTGTGGATGGAAGCCTCAGTGCATAGCCAGGGATTGTAACTGGAAAAGAACACCAAACATTTTGCCTACTCAGTTATCTTGGATCTCTGGCATGATTGCTGGACTTCCAACCTCTAATATCAATAGCAGTGGATAGAAAATCACAAAAAAATTTGTTGTTGTTGTTGTTTTAATGATGCCAGGGCCCATGTGTGGCCACTAACTCAGATTTCCTTGGGGGGCTCAAGCAGATAGTGGCAATTTTGTAAAGGGTCCCCAGGTGAGTCTCTCACGCAGCTCTGGCTGAGAATCACCACTCTCTGGGTCACATCCTCTCCAGCACTGAGGGTGATGCTGCTGAAGCAGCTAGCAAACAGACCAACGAGCGCGCCCTTCTCATTTGGCAATTTGAGATTTAAGAGTTAAAATGGCAAATACAGGACAATTGCACCTGTTGCCAAACACAGTTCCGCGGGCCAGTGAAGGTCAAAGAGAACCCTCCTACGGTAGGTAATGGCTGGAACCTGTGGTTTTAAGTCTGTGAAAAACCCTGGTCAGAATTCATTTTAGCTCGGGCGCCTGGGTGGCTCAGTTGGTTAAGCGACTGCCTTCGGCTCAGGTCATGATCCTGGAGTCCCGGGATCGAGTCCCGCGTCGGGCTCCCTGCTCGGCAGGGAGTCTGCTTCTCCCTCTGACCCTCCCCCCTCTCATGCTCTCTTTCTCTCTCATTCTCTCAAATAAATAAAATTTAAAAAAAAAAAAAAAAAGAAAGAAATCATTGAAAAAAGGAAATTATAAAAAAAAAAAAAAGAATTCATTTTAGCTCACGCATTGGAACCACTGAGAGTCAACTGTTCATACTTTCATCTCCAGGTATGTAATCACACAACAAACAGCCCAGGAACTAGAAGCAAAAAACAAGAACAAACAAAAAACGCTGCCACTCTGAAGTATTTTATGAAGACACCTAAGGGTCACTTGAAGCAATTTTTTTTGAATGCTCCCACTCAGGTAAAACGATATTTAATCCAACTCTTAATTTCATCATGAGCTATTTATGCGAAGAAGCTACATTAGGAATCCCCGGTCTGCATCGCTACAATTCTGTAACTTCATACCCCTATCTAAATATGCCTCGTTTTATCAAATCCATTACTTATGATTCGTTTCAGTGTCAGGTTTCTGTTGAACTCTACAGCTGATGAGAGCCAAAACAGCCTTCCGTTTTAAAAAATCACCTGCTAGCTTGGTATTATTGAATTTGAATGTATCCCTTACAAAGCCATCCTGCAGTTAGACCTTTTTCCTAGCAGGGCTGTTAGGAATGGAGCGCTTCTTCACACCAGGAGGGGAGGCACCATCTCCCCCAAACTCATTCAGAATGTCTCCTGAGCTAAGTCTGACCCTCCAAAATCAAATAGCAATAGATATAGTCAATAAAGGTACCAAATCTCTTTTCAGAAGGTACTCTGGGGAATCTGCCTTAGTGTGAAAGTCTGTGTACCTCAGGAGAATTCTGAAAATACGCACAATATTGAGCCATACGCACACCTTCCAAACTGCCCTTGGAGTACCAGAGGACTTACAACTTGCTATGTTTTCAAAAATCTGCCAAATTGAAAGCAAAAGCTGTATATTGGTTGCAGGTTTCTTTTTACTTCTCTTTCTTCATTGTCAACGAACACGTACACTACCAAAATGTTCGGGGAACACACACAAGCATGACATAGGCTTTGCCACAGATGTACCAGCAATGTTCTTGAGAGGCAGGTTTACAAGGGTTCCAAGTCAAGGTCCCCGGCCATTAGGAAAGACACTAGGTCCTCATGAGGGGTCAGGAAAGGAAGTAATCCTGAAGTCCAGAACAGCTTCATAGATGAGACACAGACTCAAGCTGGCCTTAAAAGTCAGAGTGAACAGAGTGAAGGATGACATTCTAGACAGAGAAAAATAAATTAAGACTGTGGACCTCTCCCTCCTGGAATTATATTAATAAAGCATCCTTCTCTGAAATGACTTGAAAGAAATAAAACAAACCAAGTTTCGTGGGCATTTTGGGTCCTACAGAAAGAAAACTGATAACCAATCATATAAAACCAGATAACTACTAAGAGTTATTGGCTATAGGTACGAGGTATGGGAATGATGTCAGGAATTCATTCACAAAAAACTTTTACT